AAATTTTGGTGTATTAGTTATACATAATAGTAGGGTTCATTTTGACATATTCATCAATATCAATGCATATAACATAGTTTTTTCCCATTTTTTGAGGAGTATTAAATAACATAGTTTTTTAACATAGTATAAATAACATAGTTTTTTCCCATTTTTTGAGGAGTATTAAATGCCCATAATACATGGTTTTACAACTGTTTGTAAGTTGTAGGTGGATGTCTCTCTGAGCATGAAGAAGGACTGTGGCCATAGATGTCTTATGCTGAGTGCAGTTGATGGCCAACTCTGTACTCTTGTCTGCATGGTCTTGAGGCTAGTGTGTGGTGTTTCCCTCACAAGGCCAAGAAATCCTTGAGATCAGGGATATTACATTGTTCCTGACTGTGTCTCCAACACACGTAAGATGGCCTACTTCTTTGAATTAATGTGGCATCCCCAGGTAACTTTTAGGGCTCCTCACCTCTCCTGGCTCCACATTTGGGTTTTCCAGCACAGCAGGGCTACCCGGAACACTGCTTGCCAGGTATGGCTCTAGGTCACAGAGATTCTCAGGCCAGAAGCACCCATGCAGATCGTTTTGTTCTTTGTGTGAATGCCCCCAGTAGCATCCCTGCCAAATGCCTTCTACCAGCTGGCTGTGATGGTGGAGAGTTCTTCCCTTGAGTTGAACCTGAGCATGGATCTGGGTTCCTCCTCTTTTGGGCCCTTGTTAGGTTCCTCCTTCCACTTGCTCACTTTGCTTTCTAGGGAGCAATATGATTGATTGCTGATTGAGCAAAACTATTGACTACTATAGTTCTGCTACTAGGTATAGCCTTAAAGGTACCCTGCATGTTTGGGGTTACTTCTTTACCTCTGGCAACTCCTTCTAGCAACTTCCCAATTTTCTGTTCTCTAGAGATCATAAGCTGTGTCTCATGGTTTCTTTTTGCATGGCAGAGTGTTAGAATTACCTATGGCACTTGCTTACAAAAATAAAAGTGAGTGGGGAGCGCACTTTGATTCTGGGGCATGTTCCTCAGCAGTTCTGAATTACCAAGTCAGGGCTAGTGCCCCTTATAGTTTTAATGCACCTGATATGTTTAGGAACCACCAACTAAAATGGGGACAGCCCATCCTAGAAAGCCAGAATTCCTATGAACAGCATTGCCTTTTTTCCTTCTGGAGCTGGCCCCATTCTCAGTGTGTTCCAAGCAACTGCAAAGTAATGGAAGCCACAGATGTGGACTTGCTGGGGTCTGGCATTGAGCACAGGGTTGCAATCAGATACTCTGAGTGGCCTGCTTCCCCAGACAACCCACTTCTTGGATCCCTGGGTCCAGCAGGGGCAGCTTCTACTGTGACTGGGAGAAAGAATAAGGACAAGAAGAGGGGAAGTTGAAGTGGGCATGGAGAAAGTATCCAGATGGTTAGGTCTGTCCCCAGGCCTCTGGCTAGCACTGATGAATTAGATGGAGTTTTTAAGTATAAGAAGAATGATAGAAACAGATTTCCTAAATATGTTGGCCATGTCTGTTTTTTTTTTTTTTTTTTTTAGCGTACACAAAAAGTGCCCCTGTGCTTTTTGTCATCTTTTTGTCAATCATGATTCACTCCCCAGGAATCTGTCAAGTGCCTCTGGGAGAACTGAGTGGAGGCAGCAGGCCTTGGTCCTGAGTAGAGCAGTTGGATTAGTGGACACTGCAGATGAGATCCAGTGGCTGGTACTTTCCTGCACCTCCTTGGTCTGGTCCCTAGCAGAAGGTGACTGTAATGAAGGARTCTCCAGGTTCAGCTGGAAGACCTATTCATCAGTACCCTATCTTTGTCCGAGCCTCCTGGCGGGGCTGCAGCTGGCAGCCTGGGCTTGGCAGTAATTCCATTGTTGGAGCTCTAGTGATTAAAAAACCATTATTGTCTCCTTGCGTGGTTTTCATTTAGTGCTGCCTAGAATGGTGCCCATCAGAAAGAGGCAGGCTGGGGAGGTGTTTTTGAGAGAGATCGACCCTTAGGAATGGTGCTGCAGTGGAGATGAGGAGGCAGGGCTGGCTGTGGGGGAGGAGAGGGAGCAATGCCTGTGAGGAAGAGAGGAGCTATGGTCTTGCTCTCACTGGAGACAGCCATCATTGTCATTGATCTCAATGACCTGCTGCCATCTGCTGGGGGATTCTTTGATATTCACCCGGGAGAGACATTGTGTACTTGGATGCATTGTCCTTAGGCAGGAACACCCTTCTAGTACAAGCTTGTCACTGCCAGGTGATTGTGGTCTTTTCATAAGGAGCAGCTCTCCAAGAAACATGTGCTTCCCCAAGAACCTGGTTTCACCCAGTGTTGTGTCCACTCTCAGGGACTCCTAGTATCAGTGGATTTATCATAGGCCTCCCAGGTGGGTCTTGCTCAGTCAAGCACATGTTGCTTCCCTTCTGTCCTGCCCCTTCCACGCACACTCCCTGCCTTCGAGGGTATTCTTTCATGTCTGGTGTCTAGTGAGGTGGTGAGCAGCTCTTTTGGGTACTTCTGAGATATCTAAAGTTTATAGAATCTCTTTGAGAAACTTCACCCTTGTGTTCATCCATCTTACTCTGAAGGCCACACTAAGTTTTTTCTACCTGTAATTTTATCTGGTGATCAGTGTTATGAAATCCTATGGCTCTCTGCCCTTTTTCTCCTAACAAAATGGAGATGGGGACAGAGAGAGGAAATAATGTATTCATGGAAAGCAGTCTCATGCCTCAGACATAACTATGTGAAGTCCATAGAAGTGACAGTGCTGTGGTAGGAAAATGTCCCCTTATTAGGGGCACAGAACAGTGAGACTTCTGTTTCTGGAAACAGTTCATGTTCGTCAAGCTACTACTGTAACCCAACATTTCTGGAGGTGGCTTTGTTGATGTGACCTTTATCTCTCAGTTGGATGGCCCCTTTTCTAAAGGACTCTAGAAATACACATATGCACCATGGAAGGTATCTTCTTTGTCCTGCTCAGCCAAGACCACTGCTGTGGATGACCCAGGTGACTGCCTTATTCCTTGGCACTGCCCTCTGAAAGTGTGTATGACATCCCAGTCAGCTGTGAAATGCCCTGTCCCTCTGGCACCAAGGAAACCTTGCACTGTCTTACTGAGGTCATACAGAGACTTCTGTGGCTAGACCACTAGCACATGACTGTGAGGAGTTACAGGATATCCCAGGCTCCGGCCCAAAGCTCAGCAAGCAAAGCCCAGCTGATTTTCAGACCATTGCTCCTGTCAGCCAGGTGCAATGAACAGAGCCCAGACTGCATTTTAAATCCATATTCTGGAATTAGGGGAGTGACTGTGCACTGCTTATGCCATGGTGCTCAATGAGGTTTGGAAATCAGTCTGTGAGCAGGTACTTTGCCCTTGGGTAACTCAGTCAGGCCTTTGACTTGAGGTACAGAGATGGTGGATAGCTGTGGCCTCTCAGACCTGGCCCAGGTGCTAGAGATACCCTCAGGAAGCTCCAGATGCAATTGTCCCCTCTTAGGGCTGTTTTTTGGGAGACTAATACCTAGAAACATGTCTTTTGAGCAGTGTCTTCTCCTGTGCTCCGGCAGCTAGGGTTTGGTGAACAAAGATGTTGTGCACACAGCCCTACATGACAGTTGGGGCTCTTCTGATGTGCATAGTAGCATAGGAAAGACCTTTCCAGATGTCAAATAGGTAGGACAGATGCCAGCTAAAAGGATGCATAGCTCTCAAAGGTTGTTGTGGGTGAACTGTGATATGTGGACTTCCTTCCATCCTCTGGCTGGCTCCCTCAGAGATATGAGTAGTTGACTTATATGATCTCATATAAGTCAATGTTTGTTCCAGCTAGAAAGGGCTAGCTGTCAGGGAGTAGAAATGGCTTTACCTTGTCTTTGAGGTGATAGGCCTCTCTTTCCCTTCCACACACCATACTCACGTTTACACAGGTGTCTGCATGCATGTTTGCATACATACACAAGATGTACTCACACATTCCTTGTAGACCACAGGAACCTAATGCATTGGGGCCTGCCTGAGCAGGGACCCACACAGAGGTCTGGTTTGGGGAAGGCTCCCGCATAACTGCACCAGGGCTGCCTGGGACTTCCCAGAGTGCAGGTTCTTAGGATTCATTTCCACTCCATGCAGCTGTCCTGACTTTGGCTTTTATAGAATTTGGGCCTAGGGTGTCTTGGGCTAGCCAGAAAGCTAAGTGGTTTGAGTTGCCAGCTTCCTACTCATGTTCTGCCTTCCTGGGAAGGAATGCCAGGCTGGGTGAGATGAGGCTTCCTATCCTAAGACTGGTCAGCTCCCTGTGCTGTTTATCCACGTCTGTGACCAGGGAAGAGCTGGTGTCTGATTGCTGGGCAGACATTGACCTACTGGGGCCATCCTGAAGACTTCCCCACCCAGCCCTAGACCTGCTCTGAGAGAATAGTGGATTTCTTAGCTTCCCTCTCCTAAATGAGGAGGACACTCTACCCTCTAAAGGAGAGTGGGAAGGTGGTGGTGTCTGCCTACCTGGGAGCCAGGAGTTTGGGATGGGAGAAGGGAATCTATCCCAGAGGACCCAGCCTTCTCCATAAAGGATAGAAAGGAGGAACAGGAACTGGTGAAATCACCATAGGAAGCTGGAGGGAGCAGGCCCCTGGTTTGAAGGCCAGTTCAGGTCTAGATTGTGGCTGATGCTTCTACATGGGTTTCCTAGGTCTTAGTCAAGCCTGCCCTGTTTTAGGATCTGAGAGGAGAGGCTCATTATATTCTTATTAGGTCCAGGCTGGCTGGGAAGTCCTTGGAGCAGTTAGTGCTATCAAGAGATAAGCTCCTGAAGTATCAGAAATATGACTCACACCCTTCAAAGTGGTTCTTAGATGGCAGCTTCCATGCTTCCTCCCTCCACCAATTGGCTCATGGAATGACAGAGCCATGACTAGAGGGATTTAAAAGACTCATATGCTGTGGGGTGGACTCTACTCATATCCTGGTACCTGGTGGATAGGCTCTGAATACCCCTCTCTCATTCTGCAGTGTCTTAGATGATGAGGGCAGCAACCTGAGGCAGCAGAAGCTTGACCGGCAGGTGAGTGAGGCTGGGACTGGGTGCAAGGGCAGAGTCTGGATTGGGTATCCTCAGGCAGAGAGGGAGGGCTCTCTTTCCATGGTCCCTGGATGTTCCTATCAGATGGGGAAGAAGGGAGCCTGGGAGACTCCTGCACTGAGGCTCCACACCCTAGCATGGCTTTAGAGAGCCCCTCAGGGGCTTTCTGCTGACCTGGGTAGGTGAGGGGTTTATCCTGTTGGGTTTGTCCAAGCTGAGTATGTCACCCAGCCTAGGTGAGGCTTCTGCCAGGGAGGCAGCCTGGACAATTGCATTTGAAGGGCTGAGTTGCTGTGCTGTGGTCTTCCAAGATAGCCAGGCCTGAGTTGTGCCACCCTTTCCTGGACCCCAAGTTTAGGGACGCTGAAGACATGAGGCCTTGACACCCAACCCAGTCAGCAGGGCACTCTCTCTTACCCCGCTGTGGGAGCCCTCCTGGTGGAGGCAGGAGTGGGTGGGGGGACAACTCACCTCTGTGTTTTCCCCGTGCCTCTATAGCGGGCCCTGCTGGAACAGAAGCAGAAGAAGAAGCGCCAGGAGCCCCTGATGGTGCAGGCCAATGCAGATGGACGACCCCGGAGCCGGCGGGCCCGGCAGTCAGAGGAACAAGCCCCCCTGGTGGAGTCCTACCTCAGCAGTGCTGGCAGCACCAGTTACCAAGGTACACCCTGCTTCCTGCCCCAGGGACAGCCAGCCTGGGAGACTCCTGCACTGAGGCTCCACACCCCAGCATGGCTTTAGAGAGCCCCTCAGGGGCTTTCTGCTGACCTGGGTAGGTGAGGGGTTTATCCTGTTGGGTTTGYCCAAGCTGAGTATGTCACCCAGCCTAGGTGGACAGCTGAGTGGGGTGGGTTAGAGACACCGAGCCTTTGACCTTGTCAGATGCTGGGGCCAGAAGGCTAAAAACGAATCTGGAAGTTCAAATTTCCAGGTTTCTGATGTGGAATATTTGAGATCAGGAGGCAGCTCTTAAAAGTAGAACAGAGCCTGCTTCTCTCCTCCATTCTCTCCTGAGAAGAATCTCKCTCAGCATTGAGCACCACACCAGCTAGGGTATCAAGGCACAAATACCTGTTTCCTTCCCATCTTGAGCTCTCTATACCTTCAGTCTATCTGACTTCTGGCCTGTAGGTCACTGTCCCTGGCTCAGGACTTGAGCTGTAGTGACCAGTAGTCTTCTGCTCCCCTCCTTACACTCTCTGTTCTCAGCAGARCCCACTTTTGGGGAATTCTCTACCACTTATCCTGCAGAGGGATGACTCCCTTATATCCCTGCACCTAGGACCCTCACTTCTGCTTGGGTTAGGTTGAATATGCCAGGCCAGATAGTGGGTTGGTCTCTGAGATAGAGGAAGACTGAGTTGTCACTGCCCCCTGCTGGTATGGTGCTGGTCATGCAGGTGGCTATTCCAAATGCAGTAGTACCTGTGAGAAGATTGCAGGCATCTGACTTGAAGGTAGGAAGAACCTTAGCAACCATAACCTCCATCTAACTGCTGGCTTTGTCCTCCTGCCTCAGAGTTTCTCAGGTTCTCTGTGTTACTATAACAGCCCTTAGCTCATCACACTCCCCTAGTCTGTGCTTTAGAGGGCAGCAACCATATGAGTTAGAAGAAAACCACTTCATTTTTAATCATAGAAGTTGTCTTTGGACATTTGCTAGGGCTAAGCATGGGGCTAGGTGCTTTACCTGMATTATCATTTCATCCTCAGTGACTCATTAACCCCACGTTTGACAAGGCCTGGGCTTGGAGGGGCTCCACAACATGTTCACAGGGTGTTGCTGGTCACAGATTAGACTTTGGTACTAAAAGGTCTTTYCACCATGTTATGTTGCCTCCCTGTTAAGATACTCCTTCCTGGTAATTTCCCTGAGTACAGCATCCTGGCCACACTTAAAATATCTGTACTCCATGTGAGAGGCCCTTCAGGATCCCCCTCAGGGACCTCAGCCCAGCTCTCTCAGGCAGCCTCAGCTGCTGCTCATGGAACTGGCCCTTCCTGAAAACCTCTTCTCCACTTCCCCTCTGAGTGCCATTCCAAGATGGTGCCCTACAGAGAAGGCAGCCACTGTCCTGAGTTCTATGGAGCCTCACCTGCTGCCATGTAGGCATCACAGCTCCAGCCTTTCCAAGCATCTGAGCCATCAGGATTGCATGTGAGATGGGAGCCTGCACCCATGATTTGGGGCCCTGAAACTTTATGCCAGAGACTACATTTTGAGGAGTCCTGATATAGAGGCCTTTGGCAGTGTCTTTTAAATCCTGACTGGGTGAGGTGGTGCCAGGCTGGCAGGAGACTGCAGTAAGAGCAGGGGAGCACCTCTGGGGTCATGCATGGCTAGAACAGAGTTTTTGGTCCTACTACTCCATTACCTGCTCACTTGTGACTGTGGGCAAGTCACTTGTGGTCTCCAGGTCTGTATTCTCCACTATCCAATAAGGAAAAATCTGTCTTAGGGCTTTGAAAATTGAAGGAACTGTAGTGTGTTCCAGCATGTCCAAAACCAGCTGATTGCTGTTCCCTGCTAAGACTCCAGGCCAGGGCAGGCCTCCAAGGGCCTTCCCTACAGGGACATTTGATATCTGTGAAGTGTGTTCCCCTGTGCTTGACTGGGGGCTGAATCTTTCTCCAGCTTTGAGTGGTARACAAAGCTCTGGTAGGCTGCTATCAGCTGGCTGGCTGCCCTGTGCCCTGGTTTCTGAGACTACCCCCACCCCTCCAATGGCATCAGCTCTGCCCTCTGCTGGCTCTTGGCGTTAACTACAGGATCATCCCAAGGGAGTTTGACATGGTTTATCCCAGTAAGGTGTTTGACATTATATTGGCTGTATTTGTTCATTCTACACATTCATTCATTTCTTAAATATTTATTGAGGACCTACTTGGTGTCAGGCTCTGGATTAGAGACAGTGGTTTCCAGGCAGCACAGGTGGGTGTAGTCCTGCTCTTATGATCCAGGTGAGGAGAGTGTTAAATAGGTGACAGCTGTGCTCTGTGGAAAGAGATTGGCTCAATGAGGGGATGACAGGGCAGCTGCTCTGACTAGGGAGCTGGGGACAACTTCTCTGAACTGAGATCTGGAGAGTGGGAGTTAATCAGGCAGCAGAGGCAGTACAGGTAGTGGGGACAGCCAGAGCAAGGGCCCTGTGACACAGGGGAGTACAACATGTGCATGAGAAAGCCTGCTGTGGCTGGAACTCCTGGYTCCAGGTGGTTGAATGTGTGGTTAGACCAAGGGAAAGGGAGATGGAGGAGCCAGATGTGCAGGACACTGTTGGTCTTTATCTTAAGTTCAATCAGAAACTATTTGTGGATTTCGAGCATATTGGAGTTTTGCCATGTGGAGAACATGTAGGCCACCAGCTGTCACCTTTCTGAGACTTCCTCCCAGGTGTGTGGAGCTCTTTGTATCCCACAGGTGCTCCATATTCCATGTTCCCACGGGCCTGACACCTRAGGGCTTGTGCAGGATCCTTAGAGTACTTGCCCTGGCTGTGGTCCCTGCCAGAAGACGTAGCCTTTGCATTCTCCTCTGCCATTTTCCCTGGTGCATATTTTCATGGACACATTCTACCCCTGTTCAGGCTCAGAATAGTGTGTTGGACCAGAACTTTGCTGACTAATCATGGYTTTGGCCTGTCATTGACATCATCACACTGGGCTGATGGTGGCACCAGCACGCCCTGCCCAGCATTTTTGCATGGTAGAAATGAGTAGGTCTGACTCTGGGCACAAAAAGTGGCACAGGGGCCCAGGTGGGAGTAGGGGTAGGAAGTATATTCCAGTGGAAACTCTAGCCTCACCTAATATCCGATTCTTTTTCTCTGTTTTGGGTTCTCTCCTGAGCAGTTCAAGAGGCCGACTCACTTGCCAGTGTGCAGCTGGGAGCTGCCCACCCAACAGCACCAGCCTCAACCAAGAAAACCAAGGCAGCTGCTGCATCTGGGGGCCAGAGTGGGGTCTCTAGGAAGGAGAAGAAGGGAAAGCACAAAGGTTAGCTTGCCTGCTCCACAGTCCTCCCCAATAGGCCTGCCTGCCCCTCTACCACCGCCATGAGGTCAAGGGTAGCTTCCCTTCCTAACTTGGAGGCAAGGTCTGGGGTGAGCAGTCTCAGTGATATAGAATGGCCAACAGACCTTGTCCAGTTCACGGGGTATGTGGGCTGGCCTGTGAGTATGAGCAGACTCTCCATACTGCCAGGAACTGAAGTTCAGTTCAACTGTTGCCCAGGATCACCCCTTCCTTCTGCCATGCCTTGACCCAAGCTCCCTCCATCCTGACGCTTAAGCCAGGACATTCCCTTCCGTGGGGGCTCACTATATCTCTTGCAGCCTGCCCCATGCTTGTGCAGCATTTGCTATTTGCTCTTGCACTCTACTCCCTGCTCTAGCCCCAGTTCCACCCTCTGAGCCAAAGAGCAGTCTGTTCCCTCTGCTCTTCTCTGTACAACAAAGATCCCCAGAGGTCATGGACACTGATGGCAGCTCCTGCCCCAAGTCCTGGCTCCTGGCTAGACACCCCATTTCCTCAACCGTGTGTGATGGGCAGTGATTTCCAGGCCACTGCATCATAGTTGGACAGTGGTATGTCAGGGTCCATGGGCTTCTGGAGCTGGCTGCATCACCTCAGCTAGGCAGGGCAGCTGCCACCAGTGTAGGCTAGGCCTTGCTTCTGTGTCTGAAGCTGTCGTGCAGCAAGATTGATGTGGGATGGGAGATCCTCTGCCTAAAAAGGCAGTGTATGAAAACCAATCTTTTCTCAAGGGCCCTCCTATGTTTTTAATGATGTATGTGAGTTACCCTAAGTGTGTGTGAGAGAGACAGACAGACAGACACAGACAGAAACAGAGTCAGAGAATATAAGCACTGATAACTTGTAGCTGGCCATGTCCGTGAGTGATTGTTGGCCTCAACTATGAACTGTGGTCTGGATCAATCCTTGTTCTCCACGTTGTTTTTTCTACTGTGCAATTGGTTTTGTAGATGGCTGCTGTCTGTCTGTCTTAAACATGTGGGGTATTTCAGATCAACTCTTGGTAATTAATGTGGGGAAGAGCAGAAGAATTAAAGCCCATATCCCTTCACAGCTTACCAATCATTAACAGGCTGACAGCAGTTTTTAAAAATCAGTTTTTTTTAAAAATCAGTTTTGTGAGTAAAGTTTTGCAGAGGGTCTCCTCTCACTCATCCCTCACTCCCTTCATGGACGTCTGAGAATCCAGGCCCTCTTCTCCCTCCTGGACGTGACTCAGGAGTGTCTGGCCTACAGGCACCGGCGGGCCAGCAGCACTGGCAGAAGACAAGTCTGAGGCCCAAGGCCCAGTGCAGATCCTGACTGTGGGCCAATCAGACCACGCGCAGGATGCAGGGGAGACAGCAGCTGGTGGGGGCACCCTATCCAGCCAGCAGGACCTGCGTGCCACGATGCAGAGGAAGGGTGAGCCCCATGGGGGCCCAACTRGAACCAAAGCTCAGTCCCAGTTTCTCAGGTGCACCCTTCTCTGGGAGCATGGCCTTCCTGGGTCAGGTCCAGCTCCTCCCTGACCATGGGGGAGGGGACATACCTGGGGACAAATGACAAGTATGGGACAGGGGCCTTGATAAGGCCAAGTWAAGGGAAACCATGAACTGGGATAACCAACCCACATTCCAGCCCTATCTCATGCTCCCAGGAAGCCCAGGTTTGGGGGCAAATTTTCTTTCCCTTTTGCTTCCTAGAAAAAAATTTTGAAAGGAGTTGCCCCTTTGTCTGTTGAGCTAGAGGGAGCAGGGCCAGGATGCTAAGAGGCAAGGTATAAAACCTGCTGSCCAGTTCCCCCACCATGAGCCCTGGTGCAGTGTGGCAGACAGAAGAAGCCTGGCAGTGCCACCCACATTGTGAGAAATCTACTCAAGGATAGCTTCTTGGAGAAAGGGCTGTTGAGACAATTTGAGAGATGGGTGGCATTCCAGGCAGGGGAGGGGAATGCGGAGAAAGCTGAGATAGAGGCTCAGAGCAGGCTGGGAAAGGTAAGTATGTGGCCCTGCACACCATGCTGAGGGAGAAGCTGAGGCCTTTTCCCTGGCAGAGTCTATGGCCCAAGCCAGGCAAGGCCTCTAATAGGCTCAAGGTCAGAATAGAGGTTCCCTGTGAAGGCGCAGCGCAGATAGGCTGTGATGCACAAGAGATTGGGCAACACTATTGCTAGAGAGGAGAGGGGAGCTGACGCAGGGACTGAGCTGAAACTGGGTGGTGGGGATGTRTCCTGAGGATTGTAACCAGCCCCAGCTCATGTGTGCATCTGAGAGAATGTTCCTCATGTGTATCTGTGTGGGAGTACATGTCACTATGTGTGTGTACATATGGCTGTGTGTGTGTCTGGTACACTGTGTCAGTGTTTGAATATGTCCACATGTGACGACATCTACTTTGGAAGGTAGATCCTCCTCACTCATCCTCCCTGTTCTTCTGCTCACCTCAGGCATCTCCAGCAGCATGAGCTTTGATGAGGAAGAGGAAGATGAGGATGAGAACAGCTCTAGCTCCTCCCAGCTAAACAGCAACACCCGCCCCAGCTCTGCCACTAGCAGGAAGTCCATCAGGGTGAGTGAGGAGCTTCTCAGAAAGAAGTTGGATGGCAATGTTCAGAGGACTGCCTGTCCAGAAGAGGTGGACCAAGTGTGTGAGGACATGATGGAGATACCATGATAGCTCTTCTGGGGCCATGGGCAGGACCTGGTGCCTATCAGGTGCTTCTCTAGCTGGGCCCTTCTGCCCTTCTACACTGCCTCCTAATATCTTCAACCAAGCTATGGACCTGGGGTGTCTGAGGACCTGCCTTTATATTCCCATCTTTAGCCCTAGGAACTGTTGAAGATCGGGCAGGGATAAGGAGATAGMCTCTGACCCTAGGGCAGGATGGCCAGGCCCATATCCCAGGGATCCTGCCCTGTCTCCCACCACTACCACAACAGGATGCGGATTTGGATCTCACACTTCCAGCTTTGGCTGGTGGGGCTTAGGTGCCTTCTCTCCTTGCTCACAGGACACAGCCTCAGCCCCCAGCCCAACAGCCCCAGAGCCACCAGTGGATGTTGAGGTTCAGGATCTTGAGGAGTTTGCCCTGAGGCCAGCACCCCAGGGAATCACCATCAAATGCCGCATCACACGGGATAAAAAGGGGATGGACCGGGGCATGTACCCCACCTACTTCTTGCACCTGGACCGTGAGGATGGAAAGAAGGTGAGGTTGCTCTGGGCAGGTGTTTTCAGCAAGGCAGGCTTGAGGGCCTGGGAGCTAGAATGACTGGAAGCCTCAGCTCAATACTGACCCCTCAGTACTCAGAGAAACCAAAGCCTCCATGCCTGCTTAGTACAGAGCTGTGTGTTTTCCAGTGTGTGTGTGCACACACATGTGCACTTGGGAGTTGAAGCAAAGGCAGTATTTGTGTGAATGAGGGTTTGTGAATGGTACTTATGATTGTGTGTGGACCAGAAGCTGGGTCTGAACATGACCTTGCTCCATTCCCTCAGGTGTTCCTCCTGGCAGGAAGAAAGAGAAAGAAAAGCAAAACTTCCAATTACCTCATCTCTGTGGACCCAACAGACTTGTCTCGAGGAGGGGACAGTTACATCGGGAAACTGCGGTACCAGCACTCCCCCAGGATGAAGGCGGGAATGGGAGGGAGGGGCAGAAGAGGCTGTCCATAGAGGGCATTTCTTGACCTTGAAGATTTAAGGCAGAGTTGGATCCTCTATCCATCAGACCCAATCACAGTCCCAGTCTATGCCCAGCCTAGGGCCAGACTTGAATTCAGCAGTTCCCAAGCATGTGGGTTCTGGCCCATCATGGGAGATGGATCACACCCAGGATGTTAYTGATGTTGTAGGGCAGCATGGAAGAGCTGCTTGGGCCCCATGGTTAGTGCCAAGGGACAGGGCTTGAGAGTCATCTCTTGAGGGAAGAGCGTCTCAGCCATCTTAGGGAGACAGAGGGGCAGGGAGGCTTTTAGCAGTGCCTCATGGGGGCTTAGGGTTTGCCAAAGTAGAGTACCAATTTGGGAGGCATAAATGAAGATTAGAGGTAAGTAGCTAAAGCTGGAGATGGGGCTGGATGGAACAAGGCAATCGTTTTATTCAGTCTCCAAAGGGTAAAAGACCTCTAATTTTCCTGGATACCATCATGCTTGCCCACTTCCCATGAGGGCAATCCTGTTCTCCCATGGAAATCTGTGGAATTCTGATTTACCTCCCTTAATTTCCTTAATTGAAATCAGATTCCCTTTTGAGTAAACTCAGACCAAGTCCAGGTGTTCTGCTTAAGAAGCACTTTCAACCGTGTGAATTCAGTGAGCAGTGTGCCCCCTGAGGTCTGCTCGTGGCCCAGCTCAGTGTTTTGCAGGCTCCTCATGGGACAGACTATGAGCTGTTCCCTGCCCCAGAGCAGTGAGTACATAACCCTATACTGATTGTGCCTTTCCTTCAGGTCCAACCTGATGGGTACCAAGTTCACAGTTTATGATAATGGAGTCAACCCTCAGAAGGCATCATCCTCTACTTTGGAAAGTGGAACCTTGCGTCAGGAGCTGGCAGCTGTGTGCTATGTGAGTCCTGGATTCCTGGATCTCTGGTCTCCAAGTTCAACCCACGACTTGCTGCCTGATCTGGGGGCCATCCCATCCATCTTGGTGGTAGCCAAGGCTGTGTGGATAGGGGATTCCCCCTTCAGAATGATCCCTGCCTGGGACAGGGGCCCTGTCCCTCCCCTCCCATCTTCAGTGATCAGGTGACAGTAGACTATCTTCCTAGGGACCACTGTGAACCATTCCTGGCTCTATGCAGCCTGGAAGTCTCCTGAACAGGAGATAGGAGGTAGGAGGCCTGGGTTCTGTATGTGCTTGCTCTCAGATCCCCTTTCTAGATGCGAGGTTCTGCATGAGTCACAGGGCCCTTTGCACAATCATCTACCTAAGAGGTAGATCCTATTTTCTGTATATTTAGGAAACTGCAGCTGAGTCATTTGTTAACAGCACAAGCCAAACTGGAATGCAAATACAGAGGACTTCTCTACCGTTCTGAAGCTCAATTTCTTTGATTCTAAAAATGAGGGATGGTTGTCCTATCCATCTACCCTGAGCATGGGCACTTCTTGGAGGCTACTGGGAATCCACAGCTAGTTTGGATGATCCTATGGTGCCACCTACTGGTCAGTTTTGGAGAGGCAGCCTTAGTTTTTCAAGTACTGAATCTTCTGTCTGTATTCTAGGTCCTGTTGAGTAGAGAATATAGTAGTGAACAGACATATATGTCTATACCCTTATGGGCTGCCTATACCCTTATGGGACTTAAACCCCTAGTGGGAGATAGAAGTTCTAAAACAGACATGTAAGAGACATAAATATGTTCCTGATCAATGCAAAGAAGGAAAAAAAGTAGGGAAGGGGGCTATGAAATGTCAAGGTGTGTGTGTACAATTTTAGGAAAGATGGTAGAGAGCATCTGACCAAGGTAACTTGAGTAAAGAAGAAGTGAAAGCCAGTTGTGAACATGCCTGCATGACAGCCAGGGCAAAAGTCATGAATGTCTGGCCTGAAGAAGGAATGGGAAGGAGGGCAGAGTAAATGCAAAGAGAGTGAGGAATGGGGGCCACATCATGCAAGGCCTTGCAGGTAGAGTAAGAGCTTCAGTGGACAGCCGCTGGAGGAGTTTGAGCAGAGGAAAACCTGACTTAACAGGCTGCTGCCTTTCTGTGTTGCGAACAGACAATGGAAGAAACCGCGGGCCAAGGACAGAAACAAAGGGTCCAGTTAATGGCTGTTAGATTTTGGTGAGAGATGGTGGTGGTGAACAGTAAGGAATTCTGGGTGTAATCTGAAGGTAGAGTTGACAAACTTGTTGATTGTTAGAAGTGAGCTGTGAGAAAAAGAGAAGTCAAGTATGACTCTAGGCAGTTTGCTGGAGCAAAGGGAGTAACTGAGTTGCTGTTAACTGAAGCAAGTTAGTTCGAGAAGCAAATTTGTGGCAGAGTAGAGATCCAGGAATTCGGCTCTGGACATGTTACATTTAGAGGTGCTTAGTAGACTTTTAAATAAAGATAGTACAAACTAATATTTATTTCCTTCTCCCAGTTTCTCCAGGAGGTAATGACCCTCTTCAGGTGGTCAGTGCTGAGTTCTTTTTATTTCCTAGGAGACAAATGTCTTAGGCTTCAAGGGGCCTCGGAAGATGAGYGTAATTGTCCCAGGCATGAACATGGTACACGAGAGAGTCTCTATCCGCCCTCGCAATGTGAGTCWTTACCCCACCCCACCTCTACCCTATCATCCCAGCCTCTGCATGAGCTTCTAAGGGCAGAACTCTTAACAGGTGTGTATATATGTGGGGGATATAATTTGAGAAGCCCTGGAGGTCTAGGGGAATCTAAGAAGTCCCATTTCTGTGAAAAATCCCTCCTTGGGGTGGGGGTGGGGTCATGATGCCGAGGCTTGGGCCTGACTCAGGCAAGGCTGCCCTCCCAGGAACATGAGACACTACTAGCACGATGGCAAAATAAGAACACGGAGAGTATCATTGAACTTCAAAACAAGACACCTGTCTGGAATGATGACACACAGTCCTACGTACTCAACTTCCATGGACGTGTCACACAAGCCTCTGTGAAGAACTTCCAGATCATCCATGGCAATGACCGTGAGTGTCTCTGCCCCTCCTCATACTGTTTGTGTGATATCTGGGGCCCTTAGTTTTGGGTTCAGCTCACCTAACCCAGTCCACATCAGCCAGAGTTTAGGATATGGGCTATATGGCTTAGATGAGATGTGAAGAATATTCTAACTATAATGACTGGGAGGCTAGAGAAGAATCTTCTTTGGAGCCCTGGCCCTAGATTCTGTGTACTCGGCAGAATCTCAGGCATGGGAATACCCTTTAAATGGACTTTTTCTCCTCTCTGTCTCCTGGTGTTTGTATGCATCTTTCTCTTTCCTTTGTCATCTGCTGCCTCTTCCAATGATCCTTTGTTTTACCTCCTTTGGGATTTCCTTGGCATCTCTGCTTCTCACTTTTTCTTCCTCTGTGGTTCTGGTGTCTGTGCTATCCCCATCATCCCTGCTGTTTTGTTTTTCTGTGTCCATGCTTGTGCCTGGCCCCAGCGGACTACATCGTCATGCAGTTTGGCCGGGTAGCAGAGGATGTATTCACCATGGATTACAACTATCCGCTGTGTGCACTGCAGGCCTTTGCCATTGCTCTGTCCAGCTTCGATAGCAAGCTGGCCTGTGAGTAGAGGCTTCCTTCAGGGTTGCCCAGCCTGGAGTGGAGCCTGCCTGCCTGCCTGCCTGCCTGCCTGTGGAGACAGCCCTGCCTGCCCTGTTTATAGGCCTTCTGCCAGATGAAGCTTTGGCCCTCAGTGGGCTCCCTGAGGAACTGGCTCCTCTGCCTCTGCTGCTAGGGCAAGGGAGTAGTGGGTAGGTGGGAAGGGATGAGAGTCATTCTTTCTGTGCCCCCAAGGTCACCACACACCCCATTCTTGGGTTAGTATCCTGCTGTAATTGTTGGCCAAGCTGGGCAACCTCCTCAGCTGGGAAGGCTGCAAGAGGCATAGAGAGGGAGGAAGCACAAGCAAGGCTGCGGTAGCCCAGCTGTCTACTCATCTAGGAGTCAGATGACAACAGGTTCCCCAACAGGGGCAGAGAGTGTATATGTGTATGTGTGTGTGTGCACGCACACGTGCATATTTGCATGTATGAGTAGGGCACATTAACTTATGTAGCAGAGGGCTTGGCAGCCAAGCCTGGTCCCTTCAACTGCAGAAAGCCTTCCAACTTCAGAAGGCCCCAGCCAGGCCTGAGGGAAGTTAAGGGAGCAGTGGGGATAGATGAGTGGCAGGACCAGCCACTATGGCATGGGGTTCCCTATCTGGCTGTGGGAATCAGCTGGTGGTTTAGAGTTCTAGCTAATTTTTCTCCAGGTTTGTTCTGTGCTTGCAGAGGCAAAGGGAACCCACCTCTTAAGGCCAAATATCTTAGTAGATGGGTACTACAAGAGGTACATGAATAGGCTCCCTGGACAAGGCTGTCCTGGGGGCCCTGCCAACTGGCCCAGGAGCTCTCTGCTGAGCAGCCCCAGTGCAACCCCTGGGAAATGCAGATGGGAACCAGGTCACCAGCCCTTGCTGGAAAAGTACCATTCCCAAGCCAAGGCATGCTCCAGGAAGAATCTTACCTCTCTCTGGAAAGACCCAGCTGTGGGTGCTCTTGACTGTGTTTCAGCTCTCACTGCTGTCAGCCAAATCATGGTTGTTGAAGGCTATGCGTGGTTCTTTTTGGTAGGGAATGGGACAGGGTGAGGAAAGGAGAGACTGTTTTTAAATCAAGAGATCAGAGGTGGCAGGACACTTAGAGATCAACTTGTTGCTTTCAGTGAATCATGTTGAAAAATGGGACTTTCCCTGGGTTAGTTAGCTGGTTTAATGACTGAGTTCAGAATCTCAAGTTCCTTCATTTGTTTCCACTTTCCCCCAAGAAACTAGTATCTATGGCTCTCTAGCCTTATGGAGCCCATTCTGCATGCCCTTTTCCCTTCCTGATTCAAGAGATTTAGACACATCCTGGTTGGTATATATGATGGAAGCCATTTCAGTAGAGAATTGGGTATTTCCCTGTTGGAAATTGTCTGGCTTTTTACATGTCAGTCTGATCAGGATTGGCCTTTGCCCGGCCCCTCCATGAGGACTGCACAGTTGTGAGCAGACCTTAGCAAGCTGCGACACATTTCTCTGTCTAGATGTGACAGGCAGCCTAAGTGTTACAGGACTTGGCCTAAACGTTCCCTCCACTGCCACTATTTCTTGGATGGCACCATCCACCCTATAGGCTTAGGGACTCTAAACTCTTGTTCAGGCTGTTTACCTTGGCAGAGTCTTCTTACCCAGATAGTGATCAGAAATCTGTGGGAAGCAAACAGCAGTTGGACCTTGCTTTAGAGTAGAAATGTTTGGAAGGGCTAAGTAGAAATTTTAAATAAATACAAGTCATACTTTAAACATATTAGTGAGGCTCTATAGGTGAAGTTGTTTTAACTTAAGTGGAATTAGTATGCTCTCATTTTTGTAATCAACATTTTTCTATGTGAATGCTTAAAACAAGGCACACCTGCTTTTAACAGGAGCTGCCCACACCTAAACCATACATCTCTCAAGAGGCCCCTCCTGTAACCTAGCCTTTGTTAACATAGTCTGGTTTTTAGAGAGCATCAGGACTTTCTGTTCTGGTGCTGGTTCACTTCCTGATGAAAGATTGTGGTGCCATCCTCCCTTCTGTAGTTCTCCTTTGGCTCTTCCTTCCCTGACTCTGGAGACCTCTTGATACTTGACTTGTTGGAAACCAGATGATCTCTAAAGTCTGACCAAGCTGTTTCTTTAGGCCTATGACTTTAAGGTAGAATAGGCTGAATCTGGAGTCTAGGAAGACCCCAGTGGCAGAGTGAAATAATCAGAAGCACAATGGAAATACTGTGGGCCTCTGCTCTCTGCTTCAGCACACATGTAAGGGGGGTATCTGGCTATTTTGGTAGGGTCAGGAGATGTAGGCTGAGCTTTCTAGCCTGGGAGTAAAGGGGAGCCTTAGCACAAAATCTTCTGGGCACTGGTGACAAGCAAGAGCAGTTGAGTCACTTAATTAAGACCAGCCTCACAAGATCAGCTCTTAAGACCCCATTCCTGGTGTTGCTGCCTTTCCTTGACCACTGGCCCTGTGGCCAGGGGCCCATGGACTCACAAAGCTGCCAAGGCCCTGGAGACCACCTGGGTTTAGCCTCTCTCACAGTAAGAGTTCCTGCCCTTCTGCCCAGATGGTCCTTGATTGGACAGTGAACCAGTGATAGGATAAGCAGTTCCTAAAGATGTAGGGCAGCTGGGACCTTAGGCAGCTCCTCTATACCTACTCCTGGCTCTGTACCCCAGAACTCTATACCTTCTGCCCCCAAATGGTTCCTCTCCTCTCCAAGTCTAGCTCCCCCACCCCTCCTTCTGGCTCCAAGGTGCTCTGTGTCCATCTGTGGTGTGTGTGTGTGCGTGTGTGTGTGTGTGTGCACGCGTGCATGCACACATCAGCATGTCTCTTGTATCTGGGGAAAAGGGCAGCAATCTGCAGTCAACTGAGGTTTCTTATCATATTTCTAAGGATGAGTAGGAAAAGAATAAGGATGCAGTTAACAATCCCTGTGGCTTCTGTCTCTTCATTTCATGCTCTTTGAAAGAAAGTGTTCCTGGGAAATTACCAGCTTTTTATCCCAAGTTTCTGAGCAGGAGGAKACCATCTAAGAAAGTTGTTAAGTCATTCAGTTCCCACCTGGCATTATCAGAAGAGATTGGTCTGTTGCGTACATACTTTTCAGATGAGTCTGAATATATTCTAGTGACGGTGCCTTAAAAATCACACTAGTTCAGGGGAAGCATGTAAGGTCCAGATCCATGAGGACAGGTGTTGGGAGTCAAGGGGTGTGATGAGGGCAGGCTAGAAGAGAACTCTTGAAGCCCACCTCCTAACAAGACTGTAGAAGCAGTTTTTCTTCATACTGGAAACAGCAAGACATTTGCCACTAAAACACACTTACCACTTATGTAGAGGTAATTCTAAATTTAACAAGCAATAGGGGTGATTTTAGAGGAAAATATTCATGCTTTGTGCAGATGGGGTCTGCATTGAGTGAAGGTGCTGGGATAGCCTGTCTATGGCTCTGTTATGCAAGCACAAATTCCATCTCTTGGATGGATGCCCTGGTTTTCCCTTACCACAGTAACCTTGTCCTTCCCTTCTCTATAACTCCATGCCCCAGCTGGAACATCCCTGTGACCTCAAGATGCCAGGTGGCCATCAGAGCACACTCTTCCAGGGAGCTGAGTTTGCTTTCCTATGATACCTAGCACTGTGACTGGGGCCAGTTACATTTCCCTGGGCCCTGGCTTGTAAGCTTGTCACAGCTCCCAGTAATAGGCCAAGGAGTGGTTTCTTGTTTGGCAGCCTGTCTTGTGTATCTCCAGTTTGCAATTTTCTGTCATCTTAAGATATACAAGGGAGGGACAGAAAAGAAATATTGACAAATTGGTTTTAAGTTTCCAATGAAATGGAAAGATATGTTGGTCTTACAGAAAGTAGTACTGAACTTAGTAGCTATATGATTTTGAGCAAACTGCATGAACTCTCTAGGTCTGTTTTCTTAAATGAAGATGCTGGGTTATCAAAGCTTGCTGTAGGATTCAGGGTGAATGAAATTTAATTTCATCACACTACCTTTTCTAGCTCATCATTGTGCCTTCTTTCTTAAGAAAGACAATGCACCCCTCTCCTTTGTTCTCCTKCCCCCCCCCCCCCATCAAGGTCCAGGCAGAGCTGGAGGTGAGGCTAAGGTCCGGAGTTCTTAGAGAGCAACTCAGAATGGCTTAGAAGGGGAAGCCCAACTCTGGCCTCTTCAATACTATATTTGAAGATAGAGGGGACTTGGTCAGGATGGGTAACATTCCTCTTGCTGGGAACACATATTTAGCCAGTTTTCATAATGCCTAGAATGTGTATGTCTACTTGCACAAGATTGTCTTTTCCTATTTTGGAGTGGTCAGACATTTTATTTTTGTTCAAAATTATCTGGAGTTTTAGACAAACTTGCAAAACTGTGCTTTTATTAAGTGACTTTTTGAATAAACTTTTTTGGTATTCTGAAGCAAATGTATTTATTTATTGGTATGTGCAATGACAAACTTGGTATTTTCCCATATTGACATTATGTATGTTGTAGAATGTAGTGTTTGTCTGAGTACATATATCAGCAAATTAAACTTGAATTGTTTCAACACAAATGTGTTCTTTTTTTTTTTAATAAAAGGAGAAAAACATGTCTCTTTCCTTAAATATTTTTCTACACCAGTTGTTTTTAGGAGTCTCAAGTGGTTAGATGGGTGGTAATAACAAAGGGATCATATAGCTTGTTTAGAACCATTGATGTGGATCAACACAGCCTTCCCTCTGGCTATGCCTTTTAAGTTCAAGGATCATCAGAGCCACACTCAAGAGGTTGCTGAAGGGCTCAAGATAGGTTAGAAGGTATATAAATTACAGCAGTCCTTTTCAGGGTCAGTGGTGACATCTGRAGGAACCGACTGGGGGTTCCCAAGTATCCCTTGTGAACCTGGCCCTGGGGAACAGGATTTTAGGGCTTAAAAAATGTGGGAAAGGCCCAACAGATATAATATGAAGACCCAGACACTTGACTCCTCAGCCTTATTCATTTTAACAAGATTTGCACATGCATGAAAATTGTTTCTGCAGCTGTGGCAGATTTAAAGTCAAGAGAACAGAGGCTAGAGTTGAGCCTAGAAGCAGACATGAAAAGCTAATGATCTGATCCTAAAGGAGGAGATCACAACTAAACTCGCCTAGAGACTACAGAATGACTGTCAGCCATTCCTAGCAGTCAAGGTAGCTGTAGAGTGTCTAGTGTGATGACTCAGCAGAATAGGACTTGAGCACAGAGTGATGACTTCTATTGATGTTGTCACTAAGCACTCATCTTGTGCTTCATGCTGGGAGGGACACTAAACAATATCTAATCCTAATAGCCCTGAAAGGTGGGTATTATTCCCAATTCATAAATGAGGAAACTGGTGCTCTGAAAAGTTAAATTATCTAAGATAACATTTTTTTCTATTTTCTTTGTCCAAGAAGATGGTGAGAGGTAAGTACATAACTGAGGTGATGGCATATGTGTCATTCATGTTTTTCTCAATATTGCTGAATAGCTGACATCCTAAAATTTCCTTTGGAATACAAATTGTCTAAGTAATTTAAGAGTGTGGTAATGAGTGGGTTTTTTCCCCCCACAATGAGAAGTCTGATGTGACTAAGGGCATTTCCTGCCTGAATCATGGCCYACCCACTGTGGCCTCTGTAGAAAATAGCATATATAGGAAATTCTTAAAAAGGAAAGAAGTTTTTGTTTGTTTAGGCATCAAATTGAAGAAGCATCTTCACTGATCAGACCTATGTCCAGGGTAGCACTGGTCAAATTTTAGTCCCTTTGACATAATTATTATTAAAGCTTCTTTTTCACAAATAATCCCAGTTTGAACCATAAGTTTATTTGATCATTCAAGCCCATAGTGCAGAGAATGAAGGTTTTTTTGGGGGGTGGGGGTGATACCAGATATTGAACTCCGAGGCACTCAACCTCTGAAACACATCCCCAGCCTTATTTTTTGTATTTTATTTAGAGACAGGGTCTCACTGAGTCGCTTTGAACTCACAATCCTCCTGTCTCAGCCTCCCAAGCTTCTGGGATTACAGGTGTGTGCCACGACACCCAACAAGAATGTGGTTCTTAAAGCCATTATTTCTAGAGGCCAAATATACTTCTTCAGCATACTTCTCTGGACCCAACTTCTGGAGCAAATAAGATGCTTTCCTTGTGTTGCTGGTGTGACTAGGAGAAGGGATCTCCTGGCTGGATTACCTACCTGCTTTACCAAGCATGATCCCAGATAATGTATTGTTGATTAGGCCAATTATCTGCCCCCTAATTGATGCTTTATGTACTCTGCCACAATACCTAAAGGTCACTACAAACCTAGTGCCAGGGGAGTGATCAAATTTTAGTCCCTTCGTTCTGAGAAATGAAGACACATCAGTCTCATAATTTTGGTCACCCTATGTTTATATATATATATATATATATATATATATATATTATATATATAAATATATATATATAATATATATATATATACACACACACATATACATACATACACACACACACACAATTGTCATTCCTAAAGGATAAAATAATTCAGAAAATCCAAAAAACATTGTCTAAATCCTAAATAACTAAAAGTTACATTAAAATTTTTGATACAGAAACAAATATATTCCTGATAGTTGGTTTATCTAATATCTAGGTAGCAGGAGCCATGATGAGGGTTTAATGCTTTTGGCAGGAACTATTTCCATAAGCCATTTTTCCAATAGGGTATCACAAGACTGGTTATGCAACACTTTACACACCAGCCTCATCAAGATACCTGAACATCCAAATACTTTCTACTTCATTGCTTTTGCTAATACTATTTCCTTGTCCACTTGGAGAAATTCTTGGCATACCCCAAGGTCTACCTCTGAAAAGTTTCTTGGAAGCAGTTTTGGCAATATTATTTCTCTTTCCTTAATGTTTCTGTAGTTTTGGGTCCATACCAAATCACAGCATAAAACACTGTATAATAAAACAGCTATTACTCAATGAGTGGTTATCATGCATGAATTAGAAGCAATGCCATTTTAAATGCACTGATGATTTYATTTAATACATAAAACCTTGTGAGACCTGGACTTTTATTATGCTTACTTTATAGATGAAAATGCCAAGGCTCAGACTGCCCAAGGAGCTGACCCAAGGTTCTATAGCTAGAGTATATAGGGAAAGATCATGACCCATTTTCCTCTGTCTGCAGAATTCACAATCTTGAGTCGTCTTACAGTTCATAGTTCATTTTATCTGTCAGGCTCCTATGTTAAATTGAGGTGGGGTTTTTTTGTTTGTTTTGTTTTAAAAGTAGGAACTGAATCTTCTGTTCCTAGTACCTAGCACTGAGCAGTTAGCTGTTTTAAGTTTTAAATGAATTCGTTCTAAATGAATGACTGGATGAATAATCGAAAGGAAAACAAAAGTACTTATTTCTAGTAAGGGAATCACGTCCTAAGGCAAAAAAGAAATTTAAACCAGAGACCCAGGGCTTTACTTATAAATCAGCCCCTCATGGTGAATGAAGGAAAATCACACAGAAAACAATTTACCAAATGGTGAAGAGGACCCTACATTATTTTTACCTTTAGTATTACATGGCATTCTAGGTTGTCTTCTGTACATTTTAAATAGCATTCTTTATAATGTAAAACAAATGTTCTACACAGAGATAAATGCATTGTGGTCTTCTTTCTAAGGACTCAATCTTCATTGACTTTTATGTACAGTTCAGTTAACAAGTAATGCCTTGTAGTAACTGACATACCTTCTGACAGTAGTCCAAGCTTACACATGTGATTTTAACTATATTCTGGGCATCATATTTGTGCCAGCCACAAAGGAACTCTAAAATCTATATCTACCTTCATACAATTTCTTAAGTTTTCCATCTTTCTCATTTTATAATGTGATAAAATGTCCTCAGAAACATGTCCTCTTAAACTCTCAGGTCTTACATATAAACTGAATTCACTCATCCTTTTTGTCAGAATTCATAGGTGCCATCTTGTCTCAAGAGCTGAATGGTAGCTTAAAACACGTTTCCAGCCTGGTCAAAATCCTCCCAGTCCTAATTTACTTCCTACATTCCCCAGCTCTCTCAAAAGACCCAAACATTCAAATAGAGAACACATGGTTTCTTCCCCAAGGCATGGCTACATTGGTTCTCTGTGATGGATAACTGTGCAACTTCCCTGCTATGTTGGCACTTTGTGTACAAGCTCAGTCCTCATTTCTGTCTTGATTCATGCCGTTTTGAGAACACATTTCCCAATGGGCACAATGTTAAGAAACAGCTTTGAGGCAAGGACTATCCAAGAGTGCACAGGTTCTCTTATTACTGGGTCCCTGACATTCTGAGCTCTTCCCAGCAGGATCACTACACTTGAGAAGGCCTTCCCAGAGCCCAAACAGCCCCTGTAGGGCAGGGACTAAAGTCTCTAAAGCTTCCTCTGGCTGCTGAAGACCAGAGGTACAAAGATGCCTCTGGGTTTCCCTGGTCTTTTAAGCAGAAAAGGGGATAGAATAGCAGAATAGAAAGGAAGCTAGAAAACCAGGCCATGTCAGAGCAAAACAATACCCAAATAGKCCTGCAGGCTCATTCACAGGTCAGTGGTAAGTCTTCCACTATTCCAGAGAAAAGAGGATGTCTGAGAAAAGAGAATGTCTGGGCATCAGTGTTTTGAGAAAGACCCTCACTGAATGAAGAAGTTTCAGCTCAGCCAGCAGAGTCTTGCTCTGCTCTAGGACCATGGACCACACAAAGAAAATGATCACTTCTCCCCAGAGGACCACTATCCTGCTCAAGACCCAAAGAATAAGGCATCCTGAAGTCCGAAATCTTCACTTTTACCACCTTAAGTCCTCATCATCTGTAACCGAGTTCATTCACAGGTAAACCTGTTGCTCCTAGCAGGAAGAGTCAGACCTTTTGATAGTCTCATATGTAACTATGGTAGACCAAACAATTATTCCATGGAACAACTTCCCTGATGGGGGAAAAACAGGAAGAGGAAGAGTGAAGCTATCCTGTGTTTATACTAATGACTATGTTTTACAAGGTGACAGGTGTGTAAGCACCAGGAAGGATACATGATATCCATGGTAGTGGCCTGATAGCTATGACATCTGAACACAGAAAAGAAAGTACAGGGCATGAGGCCAAGGATGAAATCAGAGAGAAGAGAAAGGTCACCTTGGGACTAAAGTAATGGATACTTCACCAAACTGGCTGCTTTCACTCTAAACCCTGGGGGTTACGTTTCCTCAACACGCCACTTGTAAATGTTTTATCAGCATCGATGCCCAACCCTTCATCTCTAAAGTCTTCAGGAGAGTCCTCTTTGGAGGCTTCCTCTTGCTCACTGTAGCTATCTGCACTGAATCCAGCATTCTCTGCCAAGACAGCAGGATCTTCTTCATGAAAACAGCAGGAGCATGTTTCTGGCTTTGGGTCACACAAGATAACAGAATTATCCTCCTGGGCTCTTGGGTCAGTGGGCAGACCTTCCCAACCCAAGTGGTCTGATTCTTCCTCTTCCATCACTTCCATTCTTTCAGCTATTTCTTCAGCAGAGGGCTCTTTTGGATCAGGGTAATCCACCAGGATTGTTTCTTGTCTACGTTTGATACAGTCTGAAAGGTCATAAATTGGATAAGTTTCTTCTGGGTAACCTAGAGAGAAAAGCAGCACAAAATCTTACAAAGACTGTCTCTTCAAAAAAAGGATTAGGCTCAGAGGGGATTCTCAAGCAATGGCCATCATATCCTAACAAACACATTCAAGAAATCTCTAAGATGATTCTAATAGTTCTAAAGTTTCAACTGAACAAATTCCTAGCAATCTGGCTGACTATCCCAGGGCTCTCTGAAATACAAACCAATTCAGAGGAAAAATCCTTTCTTAGTGTAGGGTACTTGGGACAGAGTTCAGTCTCACTCCATGTGCTTTTGCAGTATTGATGAAGACTGAACAAATAACATGAGCCTGCAGTTTAAAAATGCATCAAATACCAGATGGAGAGAGCTTAGCTTAAGGCTAATGTTTATAATTTCTATTTGGAATCATTTCCAAATCTTCTGAGGTGGGGGTGGGAGGAGAAGAACACTAAGCTCTTTGAAAAATACACCGTGAAATTTTCTACTTATCAAAACAATTGAAATGGCTTGCAAGCATCAGAAACAGAGGGCACTTTAGCAATACATGCCCAAGATCCCAAAGGACAAGCACTGCATTTTCAGAAGACAGAAGTCCATTGTTGGCTTCTTCGTCTTCACAAAATGGAAGAAAACAAACTGGTAAGCAAAATGAGTAACACTGATTCTGAATCCTAGCTATGATAATGAGAAAAGAGAAAACATTGCCAAATTAAGGAATGAAATGAAATAAATCTGTGTCAGCCAAGCCAAGCTTGAGCAGCAGATGGGCCGTGCTGGAGCTCATATGCCTGAGCTGGCAACGTGGGCCATACTCACTACACAATGTGAAAAGCTGGAGAATTCAAAATCCATTTGCACATTATGATAACTGGCAAATTCAACTCTAACATAAACCACTTTTTGCCCACCAATTGTGAAAAATAACAGTCTTTTTTGGTTCAGTGTAGCATATKCAGAGACATTTTTATAACATTTACTGTTTTTTTCTGATTATAGAAGGCATATAGACTCACTGCAGAAAATCTGAAACAATACAGACATGTTTAAAAAAGAAAACAAATCACCCATAATCCCACCACTGATGATAATTTGTTGTATTTACCTCTGGTCTTTTTACCATATATAAATGTTTATACATTTTTTTCTTTTTTTAAATAAGGGATCATACTGCATATGAAATGTTGATTTTTCATTCAACCTTGTTTCATGAACATTTTCCAGCATCATTAGGCATTTGAAAGTTTGCTGCAAAATATTTCATCATGTAGCTATACAACTGACATGATTTACCATTCTTCTTATGTTAGACATTCAGATTCTTTCCAACTTTCCCCTATTATAAGTAACATAGCAGTTAAGAGCTCTGAATATAAATTCATGTTCACTTTCCTGATTCTTTAAGACAGACTTCTATAAATATGAAAACTAGACCAAAGAGAACGGACATTTTAAAAGCCCTTTTAATACTCTGCCAAATTACTTTCCAGAAGAGTGGTATAAAAATTCAATCCTACCAGTGATGTAAAAAACTGTCCATCTTATCACATTCTTGCTAGCACTGACAGTAGTATAAGAATCTTGCCAAAGCAGTCTTTATTCCCAGGATGAAATTAGTGTAAACAAAATGCTAGTTTAACAATTCCTGTGGTCTAGGTGTTTGCCCCCTCCAAAACTCATGTTGAAATTTAATCCCCAAAGTCATATGTTTTTAAAAATTTTATTTATTTATTCTAATTTGTTTTATATGACAGCAGAATGCATTTCAATTTATAGTACACGTATAGAGCGCAATTTTTCATATCTCTGGTTATACACAAAGTAGAGTCACACCATTTGTGTCTTCATACAGGTACTTAGGGTAACGATGTCCATTTCATTCCACTGTCTTTCCTACCCCCTTGTCCCATCTCCTCCATCCCCTGCCCCCGCCCTATCTAAAGTTCCTCCATTGTTCCCATGCTCCCCACCCCTGCCCCCACTATGCATCAGCATCCACATATCTGAGAAAACATTTGGCCTTTGGGTTTTGGGGGGATTGGCTTACTTCACTTAGCATGATATTCCCCAACTCCATCCACTTACCTGCAAATTCCACAATTTTTATTCTCCCCAAAGTCATATGTTAATTGTACTTGGAGACAAGCCATTTGGGAAATAATTAGAATTAAATGAGGTCATGAGGTAGGGTCTCCAGATTGGCATTAATGGCTTTATAAAAAGAGTAGGCAAACTTACTCAGTCTTTACCTTTGACAACATGTCAGATCCAGCAAAACAGACTTCACCAGATGACAAGCAGATGCTGACACCATCATCTTGTACTTCCAAACCATGAGCTAAACAAATCTCTTACTTTATCAATTATCCAGCCTGTAGTATTAGGTTATAGCAATAGAAAATGGACTAAAACAGCTACACAAGGCCTTCACCACCTACTTGGTCAACAGCAGGGCTAGGGAAGCCTGCTTGCTAGTTAGGTCTCAGCCACTAAATGCTTTGGAGAAGTCTATTTGCTGTACGTCCTTTCCTTCAGCCTACACCTAGAACAAAGCTTACCTTTGAATTTTGACTATGGTTTAAGAAGACTCGGGCTCTAAGCGCAGTCCAACTACCCAGTTCTAGGCCAGGCCCCATAAGCCCCACCCATAAGCTAGCCACTGTATCTCCATAGTCCAACACACCCAGGATCCAGGCCCATCCCAACAGACCCTAGTGCTGGACCAGTCCCTTTAACACCAGACCCCGGGATCACCTCTGTGGACCCAGGTTCTAGGTCAGCCTTGCAACACTAGGATCCAGGTCAGCCCTCACAGCCCCAGTTTTCAGGCCTATCCCCTGCATATATTCAGGCTCCAAAACTGCGCAGCACCAATCCAAGCTGCAGACTCAGGCTCTAGGCTTATTCCAGAGGGACCAAGCACCAGGCCCACCACAGAACCTGGCTGCCTTCTGCAGTCTCAGTCTCAAGAACAACTCCAGCCCCAGGTCAGCCACTTGGACTTAAGCTTCAGGCCAGACCACCACAGATAAAGATTCTAGGCCTACCCTTGTAAACCCAGGTTCCAGGCCCATCACCAAGGACTCAGTCAATAGGCTGATGCCAGTGGATCCAGGCTCTAGGCCCAACTACAAAGACTCGGCACCAGATCAGTCAGCCTGAAGACTCCATCAACAAGCCCATCATGGACCATGACAAATGGCCTGTCCAGAAAAAGTCAGTACACAAACACTAGAATAAATCTGCTCTTCAAGTGAGCAGACCAACATACAATGTGTTGAATATATTTAAGAAACAAAAAGACCCAATTACATGCTGCCTACAAAACACTTCACCTTTAAAAAACACACACAGGTTCAAAGAAAAGGATGTAAAAAAGACATACAGCAGATGCTAATATTTAGATAAAACAGATGTTAAGTAATAACAAGACAAAGAAGGTCATTATATAATGATAAAGGGTCAATTCATCAAAGAGATATAGTAAATTGCTAGATATATATAAATATTGCTATATTTATACATATATATGTGATATATATATATATATATATATATATATATATATATTGCTAGATATATACAAACTACCAAGACTGAATTAGAAAGAAATAGAAAATCTAAACAGACAAATAATGAATAAGGAGATTGAATCAGTTAATTAAATAATTTCTTAACAATAATCTGGATATATCCACATGCAGAAAAGTGAAATCAGACCTTCATCTCACATCATATGCAAAAATTAACTCAAAATGGATCAAAGTCTTAAATGTAAGACCTGAAAATATAAAACTACTAGGACTAAACAGGGAAAAAGTTACATGATACTGGTCTGGGCAATATTTTTGGATATGACCCCAAAAGCCTAGGCAATGAGATGAAATTAAAAAGCTTCTGCAGGGGCTGGGGTTGTAGCTCAGTAGGAGAGTGCTTGCCTAGCATGTGTGAGGCCCTGGGTTTGATCCTCAGCACGACATAAAGATAAATAAATGAAATAAACATATTGTGTCCATCAACAACTAAAAATATATTAAAAAAAAGTTTCTGAAGAATGAAGTAAACAACAGAGTGAAAAGATAGCCTAAAAACAGAAGAAAATATATGCAAACCACACATCTGATAAGGAATTAATTTCCGAAATTCATAAGGAACTCAAACAACTCAAAAGCCTGAAAACAAATCACCCAACTATAAAAATGGGCAAAAAAATTGAACAGATAATACTCACAAGACATGCAAATGTCCAACAGATATTAAAAAACATCCAACATTACTAAGCATTGGGAAAATACAACAGCTATTAAAATATGACCCAGATGTTTAAGAAGAAAATATGAATAGATGAGGAGTGAAATGAAAGATATGAAATGGAAGTTCCCAAATGGAACTTCTAGAGATAACAACACAATGTTAGGATCAAAAATACATTGAATAGGATTAACAGCATGTTGGAGTACTATAGAAAGAAAGAGCAATAAGCTGGAAGATGCAACAAGAGAAACTATTCAAATTAAGCATGGTGAGTAAAAATGACAGAAACAAATGAACAAACCATATGTGACCTGTGGGGAAATAGCAAACATGTGTACCATTAGAAAGCCAGAAGAAGATGACAGAAACAGACTACTAATGAAATAATGGTTAAAAAAAAACTGATCATGGATCTAAMCTTCCACCTTAAGAAACCAGAAAAAGAATAGCAAATTAAACTCCAAGAGGCAGAAGAAAGGAAAGAGAAGTCAATGGAATAGGAAACAGAAATAAAATCAAAATACAGTTCTTTAAAAAGATCAACAAAGTTGATAAACCTCTGGGCCAGTCTGATTAGGAAAAGAAATAAGAGAAAGAACAGATTACTAATATAAGAAACAGAACAGGGCACATCCCTACAGATATTACATACATTAAACGGATTACAAGGGACTATTACAAAAAAACTTTACCCTAACAGATTTGATAACCTGGATGAAATATGTAAATTCCTTGAAAGATACAAACTATCAAAGTCCATTCAAGGAAACCTAGATAACCTTAATAGCACTATTTCTATTATAGATATTCAAATCATAGTGAGTTTTCCCATAAAGAAAACTCCCGGCCCAGATAGCATCATTGGAGAATTCCACCTAATGTTTATGAAAGAAATAATGTTACCTCTACACAAACTCTTCCAGAAAACAGAAAATATCCCAATACATTTTGAAAGGCCACCATTATCTTGAAATAAAGACCACTGACATTACAGGAAAAGAAAATCACTGATAAATAGCCCTCATAAACCAGATATTTAAAAAAATCTTTGCCTATTAAATAGCCATTTATATCATCACATCAAAATAGGGCTTATCACAGGAATACAAAACTTTTAACATTTAAAAATCAATGCAGGGGCTGGGAACTTCAATCCCCAGAACCACAACCAATTTTTTAAAAAATGTAATTCACCACATTAACTGACAAAACTATAATCATCTCAGTTGATTTTTTAAAAATTCAATACTAGTTTATGTTTAATAGCTTTCAGAAAAATAAGATCAGAAAGTAGCCTCCTCGACCTGAAAAGGAGTATCTAAGGAGCATATGAGTGCTTTTCTCCTGATACCAGAAAGCAAGGAGATTTGCTTTTACCATTTCTGTTCAGCATTATTGTGGAGACTTAGCTATGCAGTAAGGCAAGAAAATAAATACACAAAAGGGATATAGGCTAGAAAGGAAGTGAAAKTCATAGCCAATTTGATCATCTACACAGAAAATCCTAAGGAACTAGTCTTAAGTGGCTGTGTATATTTTTTTAAAGCTATCAGAACTAAGTGCATTTAGCAAGGTCACAGGATAAAAGGTCAGAATACAAAAATCAATCGTATTTCTACTGCTCTAGTAGCAATTAAAATTTAAAAAATATCATTTATGATATTACTACTTAAAGACAAATTATAAAGCATGTGCAAGACCTATACATTGGAAAAAAAGACCTATATACTGAAAACTTCAAACATTGCTGAGGGAAATTTTTAAATATTTAAATAAGTAGAGAGATATAACAAGTTCATGGAATGAAGATTCAATATAGTTACAATATCAATTCTTACAAATTTATCTAAAGATTTAATGCAATATCAATCAAAATACCATCAAACTTTGTCATAAAACAACTACCTTTGACTATAAATTCATATGAAAATGTGAAAATCTTAGAATAGCCAAAATAATTTTGGAAGATAATTAAAGAACCTGTAACTACCTGATTTCAAGAGTTAGTATAAAGACACAGTAATAGAGGCATTGTGATAAGACAGAGATCAATGGAACAGAATAAAGTCCAAAATAGACATATATACACATGGTCAACTGATTTTCAATCAATGTGCCAAAGTAACTAAATGTATCAAAAGAAACTGGAGTAACTGCTACTGATATGTAAAATATAAAACTAGGTCCTGATACTTCATACCATATATAAAAATTAACTCAAAAGAGATCACAAGCCTAAGTATAAAAGCTAAAACCATACAATTTCTAGAAGAAAAAATAGAAGCTAGAAAAATCTTGGATTGGGCAAAGATTTCTTAAACAGAATACACCAAAAAATATAAATTATTAAATAAATAACTAGACTTCATCAGAATTAAAAACTTCTCTTATTTTAGATTTTTCTTTGTTTTCATTTTAGCATGGACCTTATGTGCTGGACTGAATTGAGCAGTTCTGAAGAATAACTTACAGGGAAAAACAAAGAGAGAAAAAAATCTATATACATTAAAAACAAATACATTAATGAAAAGTATTTCCTTGGACCCAACTGTCCAGCTTCTTCATATCAGCAAAACCAGGTATCAACCTGTATACCTATTTTCTATTTCAAGTATTAAAACCAGTCATTTCTTTCTTTTTGCCAAAAACCTGAAAGTTTTTGTTTTGTTTTGCTTTTATGACAAATGCTAAACACTTCTAATACCTTATTTCATATATATTTGTAGATACACAATACCTTTATTTATTTTTATGTGGTGCTAAGGATCAAACCCAGTGCCTCACCCTTGTGAGGCAAGCACTCCACCACTGAGCTACAGCCCCAGCCTTTGATATCTTATTTAAGTATTTTAAATTTCTATAAATTAATGTCTTTAAATGTCATTATTCCAAATATAATTGATCTTTGAAAATTCTGCTTACTGTCCCCAGAAACTATTTTTTAAAATTTGTTCTTTTAAGACATATGACAGAAGACTGTATTTTGAGATACTATAAATATATGGAGGATGTGGGTACCACATTCTAATGGTTGTACATAATGTGAAGTTTCAGTGGCCATATATTCATATATGAACATAGGAAAATTATGTCATTCTACTGTCTTTCCTATTCCTATCCCTTCTCCCTTCCCTTCATTCCTCTTTATCTAATCCACTGAACTTTTATTCTTTCCTCCTACCTGATATTGTGTTAGCATCCACATATCAGTGAGAACATTTGGCCTTTATTATGTGTATGTATGTGTGTGTGTATATATTTTTTAGTTGTCAATGAATCTTTTATTTATTTATTTATGTATATGTGGTACTGAGGATTGAACCCAGAGCCTCACACATGCCAGGCAAGCACTCTATCACTGAACCACTACTCTAGCCTCTTGGCCTTCGGGTTTTTGGGGCTGCCTTATTTTACTTAGCATGATAGTCTCTAGTTTCATTTACCTGCAAATGCAATAATTTCATTCTTCTTTATGGCTGAGTAATATTCCATGTGTATATATAATACGTTTTCTTTATCCAATCATCTGTTGAAGGGCACTAGGGTGGTTCCAATGCTTAGCTATTGTGAACTAAGCTGCTATAAATATTGATGTGGCTGCATCATGTAGTATGCTAATTTTAAGACTTTTGAGTATATTCAGATGAGTAGAAAATTGGGTCAAATGGTGGTTCCATTCCAAGTTTTCTGAGGAATCTCCACACTGCTTTCCAGAAGGGCTGCACCAATTTGCAGTCCCACCAGCAATGTAAGAGTGTGCCTTTCCCCCCACATCCTCACCAACATTTATTATTACTTGTATTCTTGAAAATTGCCATTCTGACTGAGATGGAATATCAGTGTAGTTTTAATTTGCATTTCTCTAATTGCTATGCTGTACAGGTCGCAGCATTATACCAAGATTGTGGTATGATTACACAACTATATACACTTGTCAAAACTCATCCAAACTGTATATTTAAAATTAAATTATTATATTATATCTCAATAATAGAATTGAATTTTTCATACATTTGTTGACCATTTGTATTTCTTCTTCTGTGAAGTGCCTATTCAATTCCTTTGTCTAATTTACTGGTTGGATTATTTTTTTGGGGTGTTAAGAAAGACTTCTCTTTTAAAAATATTAAGAAAATAAAAAAGCAAGCCATGGATTAGGAGAAAATATCTGCAAAATATGTAACTGATAAAGGATTGTATTCAGGGACATACACAGAATTTTTGCAACTCAGTAAGAACATAATGTCAATAAGAACATAATTTTAAAAATGGCCAACAATTGGAATGAACACCTCATCAAAGACATACAAATGGCAAATAAGCACATGAAAAAATGTTCATCATCATTAGTCAATGGAGAGATGCAAATTAAATTCACAACTGAGATACCACTATATACTCACTAGAGTGGCTAAAAATAAAAAGACTGATAATACCACAAGTTAGCAAAGATGTGGAGTAAATGAATTTTCATACATTGCTGGTGAAAAGGGAAAATGTTAGAGCCACTTTGGAAAGCAAGTTGACAGCTCTAATGAAGTTAAACATACACTTACCACAAACCTTAGAAATGTCACTCCTAAGTATATATTTCAAAGAAATACCAATTTATGGCCAAAGCCTTGCATATAAAATTTTGCAACTTATAATAGTTGAAAGCTAAAAACAACCCAAGTGTTTCTCAATTGGAGAAGGGATGAACAAATTATGGTATGTTCACATAAAGAATACTATTAAGCAATAAAAAATAAAGAATTACAGATACATTCAACAACACATATTAATCTAAAAATCATTGGTTAAATTGGAGAAGCCATAAGCCAAAAAGCATAAACAGTAAGATCCATTTATATTATACAAGCAAAACAACAGGAACAGAAAGTAGTTCAGTTTTTGCCAGAGGTAGAAGGGAACTTTCTAGGGTGATAGAAATGTCCTATACTAGGGAGAGCAGATGAGCCGGGTTATTGGATAATCCTGTGGTATAGGCAAAAGCCAAGCCTGGGAAACATTCCTTGCCAAAAGGCAAGGATGCAAACAGCCTTGATACCTGGCTTTAATGCTAGTGATAGTTATCAGACATTCCAGTACAATGGGTTTTCTGGGTGCCACAAAAATGTTTCTAGCTCTGTAACTTTTTAGTACACAAAGAAGCCTCCTGATAACTCACAAGCCTTGAACAATTTACAATACTACTATAGTTAAACTCCCTGATTATTAGACCCTATATGATAAACTTGCAGAGCTAGTTCTGGGTTACTATTCTTCCATCAGAGGGCACCATCCCACCTGGCCCCAGCTTTGCTTAAAAATATCTCCTTTTTCTTTGTCTCCATGTTTTTCTTAATCTCCTGTCACCCCTACTAGAGATCCTTTGTTTATGCTGTACAGGTCACAGCACTATACCAAAACTTTGTGGTATGATTACACAACTATATACACTTGTCAAAACTCATCCAACTGTATATTTTAAATTAAATTATTATATTATACCTCAATAATAGAATTGAATTTAAAAAAAAAATTGTAAGCTCTCTTTTCTGGGTTGACAACTAATGAAGAAATGAAAAGAGACTCCTTACCTTCCCAGTCCTCCATGTAAGGGGCTTCCTCAGCTTCTTTCTCTGGAGTGGGTCTGTCAATAAACTTTCCTTCTTTCATGACCCTGGTAATTTCTCGGAGCTGATGCAGCAATCGTTTCTCTTGGTCAGAAGTCACAGACTGTACTCTGCTTAGAAAATATCAGACAATCCAGCCATTTAGCAGTAAATACTCTGAGGTAATGGGCAGAAACATCACTATGATCTGTCTGGATCCTAGAACTGCATGACCAAGAACTAATGTTAGCTCAACATTTTTATCTTAAAAATGGGAAATCTAAGGCCAAGAATAGATCAGGGAAGAAAAGGGATTACCCAAGTCCCACAATGAGTTAATGTCAATACTGGGGATAAAACCCCAAATGTCTTAGCCTTTAGTCCAGTGATCTTTCAGTATAACTCACTGCCTCGATTCCCTAATCCTAGTAAATGGCAGCATTATAACCAAGACTAATGTGATTTCTAATAGTATTCTCTGTGTGTGTTGCTCAGGATCAAACTCAGAACCTTATATAAGCTAAGCAAGTGCTCTACCATTAAGCCACACTCCAGCCCTTCTGTGCAATTCCTGAAACACAATGCTCAGGCTCCACAGTTCAAAAAACCTGGTTTGAGTCTCAACTTGACTGTGTGGCTCTAAACAAATATTTGCAAAAATAATATGAAGCTCAAGAATAACAGTATGATCAGTTCTTTAAGAAAGCACTGTATCACATGTAAAGACAGTTGAGACCAATTTTATCTAGTGGCAGGATTTCAGATTTCAATTTTTTATTTTCTCCTTTAAATCTGAACATTCCAAATTAACATAATATTCTGTGCAATTAACATAATAATGTCTGTGCGAGCCTCATGAAGGTGCCCTCTATTCTTCTCACTAGTTTGTTCTGGGCCTACATTCATGTTTTACGATCAGCTTAACAAATTTTAGCCTTAATGACTAATAGGGAAAAGGAAAAAAGCATTTCTCCTTCTAAAGGATATGAAAAATGACAACCCCCAGGACAGGGAAATGACAACCAAACCCCCCAAAACTGTCTGACCCAGAGGAAGATGGAGGAGGAAGGCAATCATTAATCCTCTCCCAGTAAATCCTTTCCCAATAACAATGGGCCCCAGGGAAAGAAATCCCCAGCATCTCCACCAAAAGCAAACATTCATCCTTTCCCAGCCACAATGGGTCCTGAAGGACGAGGCGGATATTGAAATGCTGGGCCCTGAACTTTTACCCTTTCCCATTGCTGATGAGTCCTGGAAGATGAAAAGCAAATAGTGATGCTCTGGGTAACAATGGGTCCTAGAGGAAGAACATAAGCAGTGAACAYTGAGTTCTAAGCTTTTCCCAGTGACAATGAGTTTTGTACTTTCTACAACTTTTTTCCTGACTGCCCACACTGACACACTTTGCCTCCATCRCCAATCATTAATTCACCCTCATTGTAAACTATAAAACTGAGACTCCTTCATTAGTTGACAGCTTATTAATTAAGATAATAACTGAGGAAAATGAAGGTGTGACATTTCTACCAGTCTCAGTGGGAAGAAAACAAAAACACCATGACGAGCTCCAGTCCTTCTACACAAAATGGCTTCAAAATCTTGAACTGAAGAATCTATCCATTCTACTTTCAGCTAGAATCTTATAGGACCTTTTACAATTCTATTCATTAGTACAGGAGTCCTAACTCACCAGGACTGAACCGGGGCCTCACAAACCCCCTAACTCTTACTGCTGAAATAACCCACTCTGTAGAAGTAGTCAAAGCTAGACCAGAAGAGCCTACCTCACAGAGTTCTGGCCTGCAGGCTTCACAGGCTACTTCTCTAGACTATATGCAGGAGCATTCTGATGTTTACTGAATGAAATAATCTTGAGTCTCTGCTTCCTAACTCATGGAAAGTTAGAAATCCTTAAACAAAAAAGAATGGCTAGGCTCAGAGAAACAGGAACAGACAAAAATTCCAAATAAAGCCATCTTCTTTTAACTTGGAACAAGCAAACTCACATTAAAGTCAGTTAACTATGGTCCATATTATAATGTCTTCTGAATTTCCTACAATGAATGTTTTCATGGATTCCTTATTTCTCAACTTGAATTGATTGTCTTGGAGGGCAGTGATAATATGTTCACAACAAAACAGGCACAGTGCCATGATCATTTTAAGTGCTTAATAAGTATCTATTAATAGTTGGACTGGTTCCCAAAATCCTTACTATCTGTTTTCTTCCACCTCCCTGAAATCTGGCTTCCATCTCATTATTTTCACAAAAACTTTAAAAATCATCAGTCACCACTTCTAAGCCCCAGGGTTTCTTTTTCCCAGTTCATTCTTTTTGGCTTTTCTATACTGTAAACCATCCTTCTCATGAAACTCCTCACCTTCCTTGGCCATTGAAATATCTGCATTCTTCTCACTTCTTTTAACTATTGCCTTTAACTTTAATCCTGGCTCACCTGTAATCCTTCTTTCACCTAAAAATGGTTTTCTCTGAGGCTCAATCTGAGGACTCTCACTTATCCATTATAATCCTTGGCCTCAAGAAGCTGAACCAATATCAAGGAATAAATCATTACCTCTATGCAGGCTGGGGATGTAGCTTGGTGATAAAATGCTTGCCTAAAATGTGTGAAGCCCTGGGTTCAATCCCCAGCAACACACACACACACACACACACACACACAAAAAGTCCTAATCTTACTTTTTATATACAAAGATCCATCTTGGAACTATCTCCTGGGCATTTCCACTTGGTGGCCTTGTCACTACATTACACCTTAATCTTAATTTCACTATTCAAAACCAGGACCCAGCTGGCCCAGGATCACAAGCAACAGAATGAACAGCAGCCTGGAAAGGTTGAGTATGGCAGATTTTGAGATGCTAGTAAAATGAAAGGTAACAGGTGGGAGATAATATCACAGACTTTTAGCCAAAATAGTCATTAAGTTCTGAACTCAAGAGTTAAATAGAAAGAAAATAAAATAGACTCTAACAACACCATTCACAGAATAATGTAGAATAAAAATCAAACCAGAAAGAGACTGCAGTCTACTACAGYAGAGTATGAGAGGCCTCAAGGATTTGGTGATCTCCTCTTTCCCCATAGTCTCTATCTCTTACCCCCAGCAAATGACTTTCAAACCTAAGTCCTTTATTCTGACCTCACAACCCAAATTTACTACTGCTATTATATATAATATCTGGATATTCTGATGGCATCTCAACCACATTCAAAGTTGAACTCATGCTCCCTATCTCGAAGTCTTATCTTCTTTCTCCTATGTTTTATCTTGGTTAATGCCATAATCTCCTTCCAGTAAAAGCTGAAAATCTTTAATTCATTTTCTTGTCTTTTTCCTCCTTTTCTTCTCTTACCTAGTTAGTAAGTTCCCTTTGCAGACCAACTTTTCTTCCACTCATGGTGCAAAGGTTAAGTAAAACCATTCATCCCCTTACCTCTCCTTTGAGGGTGGCCAAGTGGCTATTCATCAGATTCCATCCTCTCTTGGCTGCAGTGATTTTGATTGATTGATAGATCCAGGATCAAGCTGGACCAACTGTACTTTCTCCCAAAACTGGATCTTGAACACAGTGAAGCCTGAATTGAATACTTTTGGTGTTAATATATCTTGGTAGCTAGTCTCTGACTGGTCTATTCATTACCTTTGAAGACTGTCTCTTTATTCCTGTCCAATAGCTGCTCTGGTTACCACCCTTCCTAAAACCTGTATATTTAGCTGTTCCTTTTTTTCCCCTCTTCAGTTTTAATACATTTTAGCTGTTCTTTAGATACTATAAACTATTTCATATTCTGCCAATATAATCTGCCCTCTCTCCTACAAATTTTTGCTAGCCAGAGTTGGTTGCTTACAACAAGAAATCCTGATAAAACCTGTGATTTTGTTCTTCCATGAAATCCCCTTCATTTTCTACTCTGGTCTATTTATTACCTTTTGCTAGAAATGTTTAAATAACCTTCTAACATGTAACCATTCTACATTTCATTGTAAGATCAATTTTTCTAAATATAGAATTTCATGACATTTCTCTTTCAAAGTCTTCAGAGGTACCCCTCTATAAAGAATTAATTCTAAACTTCTCAGCATACTATTCAGGACCTTAGTATATGGCTTCAGTTTACTTTTCACATTCTCTCAATACCTACTTACCTCCTTACCCATTTACCCCATCCCTAGTATATTCTCCCCTATTCCTTAGAACTATTTGCTATTCCAAAAACTTGCCTTGATTCTTCTACCTTTTCTTCTTGTGCTGCCTTCTCCCTCTGAAACATTATTTTCCTATACTCTGCCTACAGCAATCCTTCCATATTGTAAGGCTTATTCAAATTCCTCTTTTCAAATTCTCTTCTATAAAACCTTTGGTGGAAAGCAGAATAAGACCCATCTCAACTCTCCAAAGATATCCAGGTCCTAAACTCTGTAATCTATGAATATGATACCTTACATGTAAGAGAAATTAAAGTTGTAGATGAAATTAAATTTGCTAATCAGCTGATTTTATAATAGGGAGATTAACCTGGATTATCTGAGAAGGCACAATGTAATCACAGGAGTCCTTAAAAGTGGAAGAAGGAGGTAGAAGAGGTCAGAATGATATAATGTGAAAAGATTTGAACCTACTGTTGATATCTTTGAAGATGGAGGAATGGGGCTGGGAGCCAAGGGGTATGGGCAGCTTCCAGAAGCCAAAAAGAGTGAGTAAGCAAATTCTGTTCCAAGCCCTTGAAAAGGGAATGCAATCCTACCAACACCTTGACTTTCACTCAGTATAAAAGACTTCTAACCTACAGAACCATTAAGATTATAAATATGTGTTGTTTTAAGCCATTAGGTTTGTGGTAATTTGTTACAGAAGCTAATTCAGGCTCCCATAGCACCTCTTTTCCATACAGGTCTTTATAGAGAAAATAATACTTGCCATTGTTAACCATACAGGACTGCACAAAGCAAATGAAAAGAGGTTCCAAAGAAGATATTTTTACTTCCAAAGCCTCCTGCTTTAAAGTACTTTGTCTAGATCTACCTTATTCATTTTTTTAAAGATATGTGAACACTGTCAGTTTACAAAGAATATAAACTTGGACAATGAAATTTTTCTGCCC